TCTCTCTCTCTCTCTCTCTCTCTCTCTCTCTCTCTCTCTCTCTCTCTCTTTCTCAGATTTCCTCATTGCTCATGCTCATTTAACAAGTGGATGTAATCACGTTCCCCTCTTATTAAATATGCATTTTTAATTTGCCACTCAGTTCATATTTCCAAGAGGTGAAGGAGTGGCTGTCGTGGGACTCAATTTGCTAATGTGGAGGGGAAAGATCTGAACATCAGAGCTGCGAGAGCACAGAGCTGTGTTTTCTTTATGACTCTTATTTTGTTGAATCATTTACTTCAGTTGCATGCATTTATTTCACTTCCTCTCCGCCGATTGGCGAGATACACTGTTGGCTGCTGTTGGTCTGGATTGCAGCTCTCACTCTCCGCTAAAGAGAGACTGCAGGATATGTTAAAGTTGATGGGCCAGATTTCTGTTACACGGTGAGGGCCTTAGGACCTTTCCAGACGAACTTGGATTTATCCAAACCTCTCAGGATGTACTCCTCAGGTTTTCATCATTTGTGCAAATGAGGACTCAAGTACACACCAAAATAGCATCAGTATGGTCTAATGTTAAAAGATTGAACTGTGCCCTGGTGAAGAATAAACTCATTTGAACTCAGCATGATTTGTAAACATCTGTCACTAGAATACACTTTGGTGTCCTGTGCAAACAGGATCTCCGTGTTTCAGGATGACTGACTGACTTCTCTGTCAGTACATGTGACTTATTTTACAGCTTGTAATTAGGCACACTAATATACCTGGAGCAGGCAGCCGGCAGCAAAAATCACGGAATAACGTAAGGTAAAACAACCTACCCAAACAACTTACATTTTCCATATGTTAGCTGACAATAAACAACCAAATATGGTATATTCTCACCAGCTTCCACTGAGATCTACTGAATTTAACCCTTTAACATCTAGTTTTCCCTTTTATCTCACGTTACACCTGCATCAACAGTTTTTTGCCACTTGGGGGCCGCAGAAACAAAATGTAAACACATCATTGACACACTATCAGCTTTAAAGTGGGTTAAGAACCAGTGACCCAGCCACATAACCCCAAGTAAAAACCAAATCATGTTTAATAATTTTTTTCGTCTTTAAGCTAAACTAATCTTACCGACTGCTAGCTGTAGCTTCATATTTATTGTTCAAACATTAGAGTGGTATCGCTCTTCTTTTGTAATTCTCTGTAAGACAATTAATAAGAGTATTTCCCAAAATGTCAAACTATTAATTTGCACTTTGTTCATGTATAAAGCTACATGTGGTCTCCAACTTCTAATACTTTGTTGTCAGCATGTTGGCACAAGCCAAATTCAACCCTAAACTATTTTAGATTTCCTGAGAAAAAATGATTAAAACCTAAACAATGTGCCTTGAAGCAAGCTTTGACTATCTTGAACAATAAATCTCAATGTTGGAACAATTTAGAAAAAACACCACAAAGTACAGACTATCACCAACATAAATCCAAAGATGTCAGCATAGCTTTCCACTCCTGGATCAGCCTCTTCCGTCAGAATCCCATCTCTTCTATCATCAGCTTCCTCTCCTCGCCTCCCTTTTAATCACTCTGTCCCAGATGGAAGCTGCCTTTCTTTTTCATATATGCTCTCTGAGACAAAGCTTGTGTATTTCGGCCCTACTCAAGCAGAGAAACCCCCCCCCCTCTCTCGCCCTCCCAACTGCCGCTCAGAGTCTTTCACGGGCAGGGAGGGAAGGTGAGTACAGATAAGAGGTCTTTATCTGGGTCCCAGAGGGAAGGTGGGTTAAGTTTAAGGTGAAGGTTTGACAATGGCGGCCCGGGCTGCTTGCTGTGGCTGTTCCCTCCTTCCCTTCTCCAGCTCCTGATGCGAGGCTCAGACTCAGTCCCCGATCCCCATGTCCTTGGGCTCATTCTTGACAGCCCCCACTGCTCCATGCTTTAATGAGAAAGATGAAAGAGGTGCAGGGTGGGAGAATCCCCAGCCCTCCTCCTCCTCCCCTTCCACCACCCCATTCACTTTGCTCTTCGTCCCGTTTGTTCAGCCCTGCCTCGCTCTCACTGGCCCTGCAGCACTAACTCATCCAAGACTTTTTGCTGTGGTGGGGGAAGTTCTACTGTGATAAATTAAGAGTGAGGGTGGTTTCCTTTTTACATTTTTCAGGTATTATTCCCTCTGATCTATGCGCAAATTTCTTTCCATTTCTTTGTGTTCTACTGTAGATATTAAAATCATAAAGAACAAGCTTTATTGAAATCTTTCAATCTTTTCTTATAAGTTACAATGATAACAGTGTTCATTGTGTCTTGCATATGAATATGACCACATGTACTTAAAAGACACCAAAAATTAATTAAATAGACCTATCTTCTATTCCAGGCTTTTGACACAAATCAATATATTTAAAAAAACTTAGAAGCCATTTCAGTTTGTATATCAGATTTCTCTATCGGATGTATTATTAGTTAGAACTATGTTTCTTATATTCTAAATGTAATGCCATGAAGCTCTATCACAGCATACAAAGGTGGTTAACTACCAGCACAAAGATATGTTAAAAAATTCACTCCGCCTCCTCTCTTGTTACCAATTCTTCTTTTATTCTGCATGCAGAATAAAAAGTAAAGGTGAGGGTGTGAGCACATCTGTACACAATACAGTAAATGAACTGTGATGTCATATTGTTGTTATAGGATTTGTGTGCTAATGTGATGATTTATCAGATATTTCATTTGCTGTATTAGACAAAAACAGACATTCCTGCCTCATTATTTTATGAATTGAATTTTCACTAAACTAATACACACCAGGGCGACTGTTGGCAGAACGGTTACTATAAAATATAACTTCAAAATGCTCATGTTATGTTACAGCTGAGAACCTTTGTTGCATGTCCTCCCCTTCTCTCTCCCTACGTTACCTCTCTCTCTCTCTCTCTCTCTCTCTCTCTCTCTCTCGCTCAAATGCAAATTTACACAACAGAAACTTTCATACATTATTAGACATGTGTTTTATATTCATAGATTCATGTGCTTTTGAGTTAACAAATATTTCAAGAGCAAACATGCAAAAAAAAAAACACAAAGATACCCTATCACAAAAAGCAAAGAAGAAGAAAACTAATAAATAACAAGCAAAGAGTGTCCACAATGATTCTAGATATGGAACAATAGAGACCATCTTGTGATGGGATCAAACCAGCCGTTAAGGGGTGAAAAGTGCGGGGGCCAATGGCCCCTTCCCCACTTCTACACCACCCTACTTCCGACGCCCTCGCTCGGACACAACCATCTTCAAACTCGACCTTCATTTTGATCTCAGCTACACACCTGCGATGCCCTCATTGTGACAAAAGCTGTCTTATAAACAGTAGGTGTCTACAGGACCACATTTTGTCATGATGACACACACGGACTCAAAAGGTAAAAACATTACCAATGCTAGTAAGCAGGCCACTAAACGTTACAATTAGTCACTTAGATGTTCCATAATCCCTTTTAACCACAGAAACCCCAAAGGTTGCTGCCCCCCACAGTGGGACCACAGCACTTCCTAAAACTGTACATCACATGCTCAAAACCCTGCAGAGACCAGCAACAGTGCCTCCACCAGGGTCACAATCTCCAAAAGCGTCATTTTGTGCAGATAGTTGTTTAGTTCTTTAAATGTTGCAGTACGTTGGGAGTGCAAAACTAGCAAGTAATCTGCTACGGTTGACTAGTAGTCATTTATTTCAGAAAAGAGGCCAGATTGACATTAAAAAAGGGGGTCTACCAGTACCGACTCTAGATGTGGCCCTTGAGCCGTGGGTCCAGCCTTCCCACTGACGCCTTCTAATTGTCTCGTTCAGACTACAGCAGAACCACTCACTGATTAGTAACATTCACTCAGTGAAATTGATGATTGATCTTGTTGGCGTGTGAACAATAAACGCTACCATTCAACAGCTCCTCATCCTCCTTAGAGTCCTGCAGCACCAGATGGCGGACTGGGATCACCCTCAAGAGATGTGATCCATTCGGGAGATTCTGTTACTGAATCCTTGCTAAAAAAAACACGAGACCTTAGATAAAGAAAAGTGTGATGATGTTTGTCCAAAAATAAAGACAGTCTAGTCAGTGTGTGTTTACATAAACAGCAGAACCAGGTTCGTATTCACGGTCAGCTATTGTAGTTTAATGTCTCCACCTTGTGGTCATTTTGATGTAATGCAACAATGAACAAAATGGTTTAGATAAAGTTTTCAAACATTCTTAGATGGAACAAGGATTGTGGATTTTGTCCACCATCACTTAATGCTTGAAGCATGTTAGGACGGGATCTGTTTACTGCCAGTGTGAACAGAATGATTACAGCAGGTAAACCTGTTTAAATGTTGGTAAAAACACCAGACTTTTGTTTTAGGCCAGGCTTTAAAGGAATACTTCACCCCCAAAATGATCACTTCTATATCAACTACTCCCCTTGATGTTTCCTTGAATCCGTGAAGAAAACATTGTTTTTCTCATATGCCTCCAGGGTGAAACAAGAATTAAAAGAAAGAATTTCCCCAAGAATTCAAGGTAACACATGGTAAGTAAATGATCATTTTGGGGGTGAAGTATTCTTTTAAATTGTGTAACTATTCTTTAAATATACGTTGAAACGTAAAGTGAGACAATGTAGGCCAGAAATACACCTCAACAGTGAGTTAGGATGAGGCTATACTAAAGACACATTATAGGTACAGATGTAGATTAGGAGATCTCGTAACCTTAAAGAGTGGCAATAAAAACAAAAACACATGGGGGCTTGGAGTGTTTTATTGGCACTTTTTGTAAGACTAAAATACAGTGCAGTTGCTGAGAAACAAACTATAGATTTCCCCAAACGACCATGATGCAAATAGCTTAGCTATTTCCATATTCAGTAACATTTCCGAATCCGAGTTGTACAATTCTAAGACAGAAAATCCTGCTGAAACATCCTTACGGTGTATTTTATTGACAGGTCAATGGGATAATGTCTATGACCTACCCGTAAAACATATTGCACTTTAAAAATGAATTAAAAAGGATATTGCTAAAAGTAGCAGTACATGTGAATGGTCCACAAGGACAACAATCATGCCATCGATAAAGAGCTCTGAGGAGAATATTAGAGCTAATGGTAACACAAACAGGAGGGTTTTTGGGTTATTCTCTTCCTTATAAGATCTTGGACTTGTCCTGGTTGTTCATGTACTTCTGGTAAACCACTCCCAGTGTGGTGAAGAAGTTTCCCATGAAGAGCACCACGTAAGAGCAGCAGCACATCACAACCTGCACCACAGCATGACAAAAAAGAAGCTCAGAAGAAGAATGTTTCATAGAACTTTTAGAAAAATATTTACTTCTTCAATATTTACTTCACTTTAATGTTTACTTCACCAAAATATCTAATTAATATCTGTATTCAGGATTTATACCAGAAGTTGTTCAGTCTCCATAAAGTCTAAATAAAACCTATGTGATTGTTACTGGTGGAAGGTGGAAAATACAAGCCGGAATTTTTCTTTTAAAAAAAATGCATGTTGCACAATGACGGTTGTGCATGCAATTGGATAAGTTTGCACAACGGCGTATTAGGGCCTATGTCAGTAAAAAAAGAAAATTGAAATGACGGAGCCGGGGATGGGAGGAAATATTCCAAGAAAAAACTCAAGAATATACGAGAAAAAAACTTGGATATTGTCTGAGGAAAAACTCATACTGCTTTGACTCTGAGCTGTTCCTGTCTTTGCACTGTACAGATAATACTTGGGAGTATTCTTACAAAAGAAAATATCTGAATCTGATCATTATGACAAAGTTATAGGGCCCATTTCTGATTTCTAAAACAGATTTCTGGATGTTTATCCTCAATAGATATGAGCCATTCTTCCATTACTGACAAGAATGGGATCTATGACTCTAAGAAGAACTGGTATGATATTTCTGCGAGTAAATAAACGAGAGAACGTCGAAGCTCTCCGGTGTACAAACCTGCCACTCTTTACACTCCGGGAGCTGAAACATCCTGAACAGTGTTATGCTGTTGTAGAGCTGCCAGAACTGTAAGAGGAGGAAACAGTCAACAGTCAACAGTCATGAAAGTAAAAAAAAAAAGTTCCAAATTTTTAATTTGCATTTCTAAACTGAGATGTTCACACAGACTTTTTTCAGCAGTTTTTAATCTTCAGAACAGGCAATGATTAATATCTACATGTGTTTGGTTTATAAAACGCTAATTAATGAGCCCTAGATGTAATTAGGCAGTGAGCACTACTAGGAGAGAAGCTACTCACATGACCAAAGAACAAGAAAGGAAGCAGGAAGGTCAGTCCTCTCCACATCCAGGACTGGAAACCCTCTGAACACCAGGAGAGGAGAGGAATATATCATTATCATTAGAGGATGATCATGACCCATAGGTAAAGTAGACATTCGAGAAATTAAATCATTATTATGATTATGATTATTGGAATCCAAGAAATATTATTCCTTTTTTTGACAAGGATCCCTTTGAAATAAATAAAAAAGAACGGTGACCAACATCTGTACTGAGCCAAAACATTGTGCAGTTGAACAAGAGTCCACAGCCTGTGAGGCTGTACTTGGCACAGAGTTTCTAAATGTATGATATAAAGTCAGAGAAACTCCAAGATCATCCGGAGTCATCATCTGAGAAAAATGAATGTCTGTATCAAATTTCCTAGCAGGATCATGTGTGCCCCTTCTTCTCGAATTATTTCAGTCATTTATAACAAACATAAACTCACAAGCTGGTGACTGACAGCGGTTCAGAGTGCACTCACCGACTGTAACATCCATGTTGTGTTTTTCTCCCAGAGCTCGGAGTCTGTACAAACAGCCACTCTGGTAGTAGTACTGGAGAAACTGGACAAAGCCTACATCGCAAACAGAACAGAGAACAAAAAAGGAAGTTGATAATTGTTGGCCAATATATCACTTATAAATACAGACTGTTTTCTGTCTCAGAGAAACAGACACATTCACGTGTCCACACTTGATACTACACACAACATCTGCTTTCCTATCAAAACAGGTGGCATCTTTCTTATCTTTTGGTGCAAACCGTGTACATTTCAACCGTTCAAAAGTTTGTATTCTCCTGCTGCAAAAGCTTGATTGTGCCTAGTCAGATGTCTGAGAGGACTACTCTACATGTCTGAGGATCTTTATACATAGATGTTAATTTGCCTCAACGGTTTGTAAAAAAAATAAAAGTCATGACACAGTTTGCATCTCTTACTTTGGTATAGACAGTTTGTTAGGAACTGATTCCTAAACATCTGGTAGAGAGCACCTTCAGGCCTGCCAACAAACACATCTGGTTAGAATGGAGCACAAACCAAAACATTCATCACATTTAAGCTGAAAGTCATAAAAGTCAATGTATCATATTTTGTACAGGTATGGTGATAGCGTAAAAAACCCAAAGTGGATAACATCACTCACCAAGTGAGCATGACTCCTGACTGGAAGGTTGACACATAGTGATGGAAAACCCACCAACCTTTGATCCTGAAACAACACGGAGGACTGAAACTGAACAGGACTGCACGTAGAACTGCTAGACCAACAGGATGCTATGCTTGAAGTAGTGTCTGTCCACGGCTAATACTGCTGGACCCATCGGCCGTATATCATTTGTGCTCATTTACGCCTGTATGGATCGCATCTTCTTATCTTTGTCGGAGGAGAGCTAGCTGTTAGCAGTTTGTTTGGCTAATAGAGCTAATGATGGCTGACGGTTTGTGTTCAGAGGGAGCATTAAACATGAAGTGTTACACAGTGAACATCTGTTACATGGGTGAAACACATGTATGATGCCTTTGTGGTCTGGACAGCGGGGCAATTGTGGTTTGTATTTATTCAATCAAACATTACAGCAGTGGTCGTAGCAGACACGCATGGTGAAAATCTGCACTTTTCTAGTTATTAGAATAAAAACAGGAAATAAAGTAAATTCGGCGCTGACCGTGAGCCGTTGCTGATGAGGACACTCTCCCGGATGGTGAGTGTGCAGTAGTACCACACCAACAGGAAGTTGAACAGGGCATCTAGGGCTCTGAAATAAAAACAAAAAAAAGCTAACATGAAAATATATTAGATATTGTATGTTTTGAGATTTTTTTCAGAAAGCAACTCCTTGAAAAAACCTTCAAAGGATTAATCTTCCTGGCGATGGGTTAGAAATTGTGGGATGAAAATCTGCGGTCCCGGTGAACAGCTGATTTTGCGCCAAGCAGACAAGTCGTATTCACGTGATATTTGACACATTTTCTGTTTATTATAATAAAAATATTAATATATTCCCTGGCATATATGATGAGCTCTTTGGACACGATACAAGACAAGCAGACGGGGAGGAAGAGAAATCACTCAACCGTTACTGTAACTTACTTACCTATTTGACGTTCTCTCTTCCAAATAATCCAGCCATGTAACTATCATTCATGAAATGAAATCGCAAGTTTTAGGATCCTCCTCAGCCCGGGAAAATGCACGAACATTAATGGTTTGTAAGAGTGGCATCTACAATGTAACGGGACGCGCAACAAAAGTAACCCTGGGCAGTCAGAAACTAAAGAACATCACGTCACCCATTTTAAATAAATAGAACATAATCCAACGATGTAATCCACAGCCAGAGTATCATAATTATTATATATGCCTTTATAAAAATCAGTCGACCTCTAATAAATCTATACAAATAGAAAAGATCAACAACAACACACAACCCTGTATCAGTCAGACTCTGGCATGCATGTACCAGGAGTTATCTTGTTGACTTAATTAGGAAATAGTCTATTAATCAATCATTTTGTTTGGACATTCCCTTAGTTACAATAAATTAACTACTTTGTTGCACTATGACAGGGGTTCTTAACCTTTTTGACCTCGGGGCCCAACTTTTCAAGTACAAAGTGTCCCGGGGCCCATTCAAATATTAACACTATTAGTTTAACTAATTGATCTCACTCTTGGTTTGATTTGTATTCAATAACTATATTGTTACCTGTTCAACTCCACCCCTATTTTGGAGCAAAACCGCCTGAAATGACATACCCAAATTAAAATGGCTGTAGCTTCTGAACCACTCTGACTATATGCATCAAAAGTGTCAGAAAACCTGTAGGTCATATAGAAACAGAGCAGTGGGCCTTTGGAGTCAGTAAAAATTGAAGATTTTTGTCCGCATAAAATAAAAAAGTATCTTTCAGTATAAATAACTGCCTGTGGCTGTATCTGTACAGGTAAATGACAGTATAGGGCTGTAACTACACTATCAGTGAACAACTGCCTCAAATTTGAAGAAGATTGGACAAAGTATGACGATTCTACAGTGTTTCTTCCATGAAGAGATCCAGGCAGAGCTCTAAAAGGATATTTGGAGACCCAAATGGACACATGGTAACCAAATGATATTCTGACACACTAAAGGTGTTTCTCCCTTAATATTTTGATATTACATTATTTTCCTTTTATTTTTAGCCTTTGCAAATTGCAAAAACTATATATATATGGTAGAAGACATGGTATGTAAGTAGCAGACTCACTGTGCGTAATGGCTGCGAATGTGGACACGATCGAGTACGAAGGTAGCTCAGTTACGCAAGGTTATACGTTGATTGACGGCTTACAGAAGTGGAAGATACGGTTTGTAGTTTAAGTACTAGTGTTTTCTGAAGCTACTAGCTCCATGGTAACATCTGCTAGCACATTGTTGGGTCTGTAATGTGTCTTTTTCCGTCGAAATGCTGCAAGATCCGACTTGCAGAGGTTATGGCGACTTTGGACAGTGTGTGTTTGGGCTCCTTTTGTGAAAAATCCATAAGAAATAAAAGAAAATCGATGATTTCTTTGCAAAGATGAGGATTTTGGGCATGCTGGGATACCAAACACGGCCATGTTTTGTGACGTAGTTTGCACAAGCAAGCCGTAGGAACGGAACGGAAAGGGAGGGGATCGAGGACGCCGGTGTCCTCGCGGAGTTGAACAGGCAAAACCCTTGTCAAATACATGAGATGATACAATGTGATGATCACAAAGACATTTATTTATCATGTGTATGTAAACCTGCATACACAACAAGAAGCCCAACAGGCTTTCCCACGAGCGTTGGATGTTTCGTCGCTAGGTGTCGCTTTATTTTTGAAGGCTTCAGTGCTTCGTTTGATAGCATTAGCCCACATTCCACACACTGAAAGTGTTAAGAAAGTCAGGATTGTACTTAATTTAACACTGCTGCCTCTAGTGGTAAATCGTGTAATGTTTATGATTCATTAAATGATTTAACACTGCTGCCCTCTAGTGGTTAAATC